GCCAACCTGAGGAGAGGGGGCAGGGGGCACTTCTGAAGCAGAAATCGGAGAGAGCCCCCGTGGCAGGGACCCTGTGTGCCAGGAACAAAGAGATTCTCCAGATCCACAGAGGGGAGAGGATGTTTTCCTGGAGGACCTGGGAGCCCAGGAGGAAGTGGTGGACGTCTCGGGGCAGAGTCAGGCAGGAAGGTGACACCAAGTGACAGTGAAGGATGGCGCTCGGTCAGCAGTGTAGGAGCTCCTGGGGCAGGGAGGTGCGGGCGCGCAGGGAAACAGGGCTTGGGGCTTGTTAATGGAAAACCTGAGCCACCCGCTGGTCCCCTGACCTTGGGCAGCAGTGACTCAACCTCTGAGAGTCCCCCTCTCCCGCTGCAAACAAGGTTCTTCAGGGAAAGGATCAGAGTGTGCACACAGCACACTCGCTACGTGGCAGGGACGGCAGGGGCTCTGCTGATGCCCTCCCGAGGGCCACCAGACGTGATATGAGAGCAGACAGCACAGCGGTCCCAGGCAGCCAGCGCGACGCCCGCACTGCCCCACCAGGCTCCAGGGCAGGTAGTGTGCTTCACGTCAGCCGTGCGGTGGCGGAGCTGGAGCGGCGGCATCTGCAGGGTCATCCGGAGTGTGAAACGGGGGTTGGGGCCTGAGAGGACTGGGAACAGAGCCTGACCTGGTTCAGCAGGACAGGGAGACCCACCGAGAGCTGCTGCAGGGCACGGCCCCCACCCCCCGGCTCTGCTGCTGGGAAACTGAGGCCTGCGGCGGGAGGCCGGCCCCGGGGAGGATGCAGCTGGTGGGAGGGGTGGTCACTGCAGCAGGACAAGGGAGCCTCCGCAGCAGGGAGGAAGAGTGACCTCATCCCCCAGGCCTCCAGCCGCCACTCACGGGTTTCCAACCACAGGCCCCTCAGGACAGTCCCCCGGCATGCTGGCCACCGGAAGGCACAGACGTGAACCGTGTCACGCTTTCGGTATGGAATCAGGACAAAGGCTGTCACAAAAGCCAGCCCTCACCTGGGCCGGGGCAGGTTCTCTCAGGGCAGAGAAGAGGAGTGCTCCTGGGGCGGAGGGAGAGCCCCCAGCGGGACCGGCCGGGCCCAGGCACACACGTGCTGCCACGTCCACAGACACATGTGAGCACACAGCCTCCCCTGGACGGGAACCAGGTGGGGCCCCGCCACGGCCTGTCCAAAGTCCCAGGCCGGACCTGGCCGGGCGAGACTCCTCCCAAGATGGCTTTTTCAGGCCCCCAAATGTCCTGGTTCAGCAGAATGCTTAATCCCTCGGAGGCCGCCCTGGGGCTTCCTCGGCCCTCGCTGAGATAACAGCCTTCTGGCACCGTCACAGCCAGGCGCAGCAGCAGGAGGGAGAACACGGCTCGGGAAGAGCCTCGAAGGCTGTTCCACATCTCCCACTGCCGTCCCTGCAGGCTGGCCGGGCCCCCGTGGGGCCCGGGGCTGCGGTTTGGGCTGAGCTCGCAGTCAAGCTGGGCCGGGCCCAGGGGCTGCAGAAATGCACGTGACGAGGGCGCCCCCTGGTGTCTGCATGGTCTGCGGAGACTGCCCCCCTACGACGGCTCCAGGCATCTCCCGGCACCCCACACCGGGTGCCCCGGCCTGGGGACGGCACCCTCCCCAGCCACCTGTGCTCCATGCTCGCCCACCTGGAGACGGCAAGCTGCAGGGTCCCCACCTGTAGGGCCCCAGCCAGGCTCGCTCCTCACCCTGCCCTCCCGCCCCAGCACCCCGACCCGACAGAGCCTTGACTGCCTCACAGGCGTGCCCCACAGGGCCCCACCGACCGCCCGCTCGGTCCAGTGCTAGGCCATGGCTGCCTCCTTCCCAATGTCCCCCAACCCCCTAGGGCTGTCACTCTGGCATAGGCCTCTGGACACGGTCAGCTCAACCCACCTGGAAGGGGCCACTCCCTCAGGCTGAAGTGGGGGGACACGGAGTGTAAACATGACCAGGCCATGTGGCAGGCAGGGGGCTGTCTGTCACCGCCTCCATTTTACAGATGGGGAAATTAAGGCCCAGGAACGCATACCCCCGGGGGTGTGCCGAGCAGGAAGCACCGTGCTGGCAGGCGGGCAGGCAGGGCAGGGGTCCCTGGGAGGGGTGAGCCCCAGGCAGAGCATCACACCCTGCCCTCTGAAGAAAGAGCAGGTGTCCTGGGAGAAGTCAGCCCCGTGAGATGTCAGAGAGCCAGGCCCGGGCAGAGTGGTGCAAAGGCCCAGAGGCAGCAGAGAACAAGTGGGGGGCCAGGGACAGGAAGAGGGTGCCTGAACAATGGCACCTGGGGGTCCATGAGAGAAGCTGGAGTTTGCCCCAAATGCCACGGGAGCTTCTAGAATGATCAGGTGGCTTTAGAAAGCTTCCCCAGTGGGAGTGTGGGGAGGGGGCCCAGGGACACAGCCAGGGCCACTGCTCCCACAGGACGGAAAAGAGCCACTACTTGGATGGGGGATACAGTGGGAGGGGGCTCTGCTGTGGGGAAGGGGAGCTGCTCCACTGGCACCTGCCCTGAGAGGGTGGGAGGTGTGGACCTCCCAGGCCCAGTGCTCAGTGGCTGCCAGCCTGAGGGCTCTGTGGAAAGGCAAGTGCAGTTCCAAAAGCAGCCACCAGGTGGCAGGCAGGCTCCACAAATGCTAGGGCCAGGTGGAAGGAGGCAGTGGCTCCTGGGCCCAAGTCACCCTGGGGGACCAAGGCTGACCACCCCAGATCCGAGGTAGCACAGGAGGAGCTGAATGCATCACACACGCATGGGCACACACGTGAACACGTCACCATGGTTTAATACTACACGTGAAACACACCCATGTACACACACACACAGCTGAACACTCACAGGCACACACCACACGGCAGGCAAGTGCACACTCATGAACAAGCTCGTGTACACAGGTGCACGCAGCCTCCCACTCACACACATGCCCAGATGCACTCAGCTGTGCGTGAGCACACATGGCACATGCATACACGTGTGTACGCTGCCTCGCACGTGGCACATGGGCACACGGCATGCTCACATGTGTACATTCACACACACAGATGTGCACGTGCTCCTCTCCTGGGGAATCTTCCGCAGCCAGGCCCTTACAGCTGAGAACCGTGGGGAACCCTAGTCCCAGGCCCTCCAGGGCAAGTCCCAGGGTGGAGCACCGAAGACCCCGTCCCCACGGAGGGACCCGCAGAGGCCAGGCCTGGTGCACACGCCCTGTGGCCGACACACCTCCCTGCACAGTGACCCCATGCTGTCCTGTGAAACACAGCCAGCAGCTCAGCCAGCTCTCAAGGACAGCTGGTCCACGGGGGGTGAGGGATGCCAGGGTCCTGGGCAGGTGGCACGGGGCACGGGAGTAGCCTAGAGCAGGAAAGGAGAGACACAGCCTGACTGAGCACTGTGAGAGGTCCCTGGGTCCTGCAAAAGCCCCCCGCAAAACTCTGACACCCCAGAGAGACGTGGGACAAGCCCAACCGTCACACCCCACCACACAGGACTGGGGCTGGGGGACAGTACCCAACACCAGGAAATGCCCGTCCCCATGCCTGGTGGCTGGGTATTCCTCTGAATAAGCATGAAGTGACAGCAGGCCGCACAGCAGGACTGGTGACAGCTGTACCTGCACAGGGGACTTCCATCCTAGAACCCAGGAACCCGGGGGAACCTGCTAGATCAGTGACTAAGCACAACAGACCCAGGCCAGGAGACTGCCAAGAACACCCCATAAAACACGTCACAAGAGAGGACCCTTCAGTGACAGCAATCCCCAACTGCTCATTGGCACCCCTGTTGTTATCAGGAATAACCCACAGCCACCGTCCCAGACCCATGGCCCCCACCACACAGGCTCCCAGAGACACGCACCACAGGTGCCAGGCTCCCCGACCTAACTCATCAGGTGCCAAAGCCGGACCACTGGGTCGTGAGGTCACTGGGAGGAGAAGACGAGCAGGAACGGCCAGGAAAGCCCTGCAGGGAAGGCCCTGCCCGCCCACTGGAGCCAGGCCTCTGCCTGGCCCCGGGAGGCCAAGGAGGGAACCCCAGGGCGACACTGCATTGGAATCTGGTTTTTAACAAAGGTGCACCTCAAGTCAGGTGGGAGAGACTCTGGGATAGGAGCCGCTTTACTGGAGGCCAGGGGTCCAGCCTCACGAGAGTCCCAGTGGCCACGCGCCACATCGACATACAACTGCCCATAGGGGCACTGTGAGCCCCGAGCAGGGGACGCTGACCCATAACTCAGAATCCAGAACCGCTAAAGCCCAGGCAGACCTGGCTGCCTAAAATCAAGATAGGCACCACCTCTGGGCTGTCCAGGGTGACTCAGGAGCCCAGCTGGACAGGCCACAGGGCCAGATGAGCATGAGAGCTGGCCCGGCCAGCCCCAGGTAGCGGGCGATGCAAAGCCCCTCCTGATCCTTGCCCCTTCTGCAGCTGCGGGGACAGCCCACCGCGAGAGGGCAGGCGTAACAGAGGTGCGGACTCAGTCCTGAGAGGCCCTCCGTGGCCCCCAGGCGGCTTCCTCGGGGACTCTCTGTCCCCCGGACACAGCTGGTCCCCAGAGAGCACCCCCCAGCAGCCTCAGCACCACACCAGCCGCGGGTCCCCACAGAGCCTGGGCCCRGCAGAGAGACGTGAGCAGAGGGGGCCCTCTCGGCCCTGGCTCCAGGCTCTTGAATCCATGCCGGGGCAGGCCCCCTCCTCAGCTAGGGTCCCCCCACAAGCACCCGGGGCCTGCAGAGGTGGAGGGCCAGACCCCATGCTCAGGAGTTGGGTCCTCAGACGGCCCAAGCTCCTCTCTAGGGCTGGGGACTGGCCACACAGGGATGAGATGCCCCAGCCCTCACCCACAGAGGGACACGCACAGGTCTCTGTGCCGGGTCCCAGCCCAGATGGCCTCCTCCAGCCCAGCACCAGGGGCACCGGGAGCAGCCTCCTCTTTCCCAGAGCCGACCCCAAGGCCACTGAGCCATGTGGAGGCCCCAGGCCCCTACATACCATCCAGAAGAGCGTCCCAGTGGCCAGCGCGGCGTACTGCTCGATGGTGGACAGCACGCTGAAAATGAGGCAGACCAGGACGATGAGGAAGCTGTAAGAGAGGAGGGCGCAGGGTCAGCACCCACCCAGCAGCAGCCGCCACCGATGCACCCCGTGTGAGATCCTAGAACGCTGCCAGAGCCCAGTCGTCCCTCAGCTGTGAGTGGACACCCCAGACCTGCCCAACATGGGAGGACCTCAAAATGCTGTGCCCAGCCAACAGACCCCACGACCACCCATCACGGGCTCGTGTCCTGGATGGGCAGGTCCACAGGGCAGGGAGCAGCTCGGGGCACTGGTGGGCAAGAGGGCTCCCCTTCGGCATGACCAATGCTCTGGACCGGAAGGGCAGTGCGCTCGGACCCCCGAGCTCTGCGGGGCACGTGCTCTTCGCCACGTGCCTTGGGGTGCAGCTCTGTCTCCGGACGCCGTTTCCACAGACCCTTTCTGGTCAAGCTCCCCTGGCCCCACAGGCAGGACACAGGGCCAGGCAGGGTGCCTGGTGGTCACAAGGAGAAGCGGGCCACCAGCTCAGAGTTCATCAAAGGAAAAGGAAGCAGAGTCTCGCCCAGGGCCAGCACCCAGGCTGCCCATGTGCCCTGTGACACACAGAACACAGGCCACTTGTTCTGATCCGGTGGGAGCCACAAAGCTGAGGAACCACCCCCTCCCACTAGTGAACCCCCAGGGTCCCTCTTCCACTGAGCTCAGTGTCCTTRTATGTCACCAGGCCAAGGTGGCCCCAGCCCTCCTCCGGCCTGGGGAGGGGCAGCCGGTGAGATGTTCCAAGGGCTTTGAGGACGGCAAACACCTCCGCGGGCTCTCAGGGGCGGGCAGAGGGTGGCTGCCCCCCGAGGTGCCGACCTTCTGCCCAGTACCAGGAGCCCAGGCCCCTCCGTGCCCTGAGAGTCACTGCCCCCGTGGCTTTCAGTCCCATAGCAGCCAGGACACCCAGCGCCTCCTGCAGGCTCAGCCCTGCCGAATCTCCCCGTCTCCCTCTGCCCAACAGGGGCCCCGACCCTCAGAGGTCACAGATGGGCTTCCAGGGTCACAGGGACCTGGGCGTCTCCCCCAGGCTCCTGTGGCTAAAACCCCCCTTCCTGGCCTCTGTGGCCCCGAGCCCTCGGGACCCACCCACCGTCCCTGGTGGGCCATCTGTGGCCCCTGCACAGCCACCTCCAGCCCGACCCCACCTCGACCACGCTGCTGTCCCACGCAGCCAGCAAGTGGCCCTCTTGTCACCATGGTGGCCCTGCCCAGCGCAGCTCCCCCACCTTCTCTGCTAGTCTCGAGGGAGCCAGGTCGGCACCTCTGTGCCGGCTGCTGCCTCCTGGGGGCCCACCTCAGCTCCACAGGGAGGCCCCACTTCCCAGGTAGGGGCCAGGCCATCCTCTGAGCCCACCCTCCCAGGAGTCACTGCTGAGACCTGGTGCCTGTCCCCCACCCCGGCCTGTGGGTGTCCTGAGAGCTGGTGACCAGACATGGCCTGGGGCAGAGCAGTACTCAGCCCCTGGTGTGCGCACCGGCACCTGACCCCCGAGCACCTTGCCTTGCCTCTGTCCCTCCCACTGACCTTGCCTCTGTCCCCACGGCTACCACGCTGTCTCTTGGCACAGGACAGCCCCAGTTCAGCCCGGACCCAAGGCCACCACCCGGACCCCAGTCGGACCACAGTCCCTCAGCCCCAGGACCCCGCCCCTCCTTGGGCCTTGCCTCCCACCAGCAGCCCCTCACAGGTGGGGTTCTGGCTGCTTCGGGTCTCAGGGTGCTGGCACACGTGGCCTCCCGACAGGGACTCTGCACCTCCATCTCCACATGGCTCAGCTCCAAGGACCCTCCCTGCCTAGCGCCAGGGGGTGTCTGGTCCTCCCAGGCCCCTCCTGCTGCTCCCCTGGGCCAGGCAGCCCCTGCATTGCGACTCCCCCTGCCCTCTGCTGTCCCCCAGACCACGACCCACACTGCAGCCAGGTCTCATGGAGCCCCCATGGGGGTGAATAAGGGCACAGCCCTTTCCGGAGCCAGCGTTGGCTCTCGTGGGCACCGGGCAAACACTGGTTGGGCAGAGTGTCCGGCTGGGGCAGGTGCCGTTCCTGGAACAGGAGCCGATTCTTCCCGCCATCCTGCACGGAGTTTGCCTCCCACTACACGAACCAAAGCCCCCTCCAGCCCTGCAGAGGGCCTGCGTGAGCCCCTGGCCTCCCAGGGGCACTGGACCAGCTGCTCCTCTGGGGCTTGTGCCACCCTGGCCCTGCAGGCCACTGTGCCCTGACTCACAGCTGCAGGGAAGTGGGACGGGCCCAGCAGCAAAGCCAAGAGCGAGCAGAGAAGGTGCTGCTGGGGGCAGAAGGTGCTCAGCTGGCCTCTCCCCAGCCACCGGGCATCCAACAGGACCCAGCTCTCACCAGCTGCCCCTGCACAGCCATGTGGCCCTGGCAGCACCCCGGCCAGGTTTCCCCTCCTCCTAAGTCAGAGCCCCAGTCACAGAGCTGTGGAAGGTGGTGTCACCAGGGGTCCCCCCGGGGACTTGGTGCCAGGAACAGGCCCGCGGCCTCCCGAGGCTCTGACAGCCCTGAAGCTCCTGCAGCATGAGCATGGGAAGACGCAGCAGAGCCCTTCGGGGCCACAGCCAGGACCCCCAACCAGCTCCTGCCCACGCTTTGCCAACAGTGACGTGCACCCAGGAGAGCCCTGGGGTGATCAAGAGGCTATCTCAGGACGATGAGCGTCCCCGGGCTCCCAAGTCACAAGCTCAAGCCAAACGGGTGACAGGCTGCATGGCTTGTCACAAACTTTGACTTTTCCTGCTGTCGGGGTGACAGCATCCACTGCTGCTGCTTGGAGGCGGTGAGGGAGGGAAGCAGCAGGGCGCTGGCTGGGGTCGGGCGTGGCCGGCCCAGGGCCCGGGGGAGCTGGAAGCCTCGGGAACAGGCCACAGGCGCCAAGTGCCCCAGGGGACTTTGCAGCTGGGGGGCCCTCCTGTGCCCTCCGAGGCTGCTACAGCTGAGTGAGCCTCGCCCAGGAGGGTCCAGCAGGGAGGGCAGGACACAACACTGGCCCTGTGCACAAGGGGAGGCAGGTGGGGCGGGAGGCGACCACAGGGTGGGGCCAGGGCTGGTGGGAGACTGTTCAGGCCAGGGGAGAAGGTGAGCGGGACTGGGCCCGGCTCCAGGATGCCCTGCCTCGTGGCCCCCTGAGGAGCCCAGGGTTCAGAATGCGGTGCTAATCTGTCCCCACGTGCTGGGCTGCTTTTCAACCTCACCACATCCTGAAGGCTAAACAGTTCTTCAAATATTTGAATACACTGTGCTGGCCTGAGAAGAATTATATAACACAGTTTATTCTTTATCGACTCAGATAAAACACATTTTATCTTATTTACCCCTTTATCTGTTCCTGTCCTGGGCGGAGCGGGGAGTCTCAGGGAGGCCTGGCCAGGGTTCCTGCCCTTGGTGAGCTCACACAGGACCCAGGGCCCACCTGCACCCCTGCCCTTGGGGGCGGCCACACCCCTCTGCCCCCCCCCCCGTTCTGCATCCTGGAGCTCCAAGGTCAGGCTGTCCCAGGACACCCCCCAAGGGCTGGGAGACTGAGGCCCAGGGAAAGGAAGACACTGGCCCATGTTCTGGACTGGGGCTGCCCGCACCTGCACGCTGCCCGGCCCAGCTCCCAGCAGGTGCAGCGCTGTGGAGGGAGCAATGGTTCCCAGGACAATGCCCCACTGTTCCCCTCGAGCCACATTGACCTGAGCAGCTGTGACCGCAGCACCAGCCTTGAGGGACGTCCAGCATGTTATCGGACATCACTTCAATATCTTCACAGCCAGGTGCCCTGGGAACACAGGAGAATGCGGGCGTCCTGCCAGGGCCTTGTAGAGGCCACAGTGGGAGGCACGTGGAAGGCGGGGGCCAGCTCCAGGGGCTGCGGAAAGGCAGGGCCTAAAGCCACATGGAGACCCTCCACCACATCCCATGTTCTGGGCCCTGCCTGGCACCTCCTCATAGACTTGCTCGGCCAGCTCAGGTGACCAGCCCAGTGAATCCAGCAGGTCCTGTCCAGGAGAAGCAAGGGCTGGGCCTGGACCCCAGGGCTGCCAGGCCCACTCTGGAGCACATCTCATCCACAGTGCCTGCTAGACTCGCTGCCCGCCACCCTACCTCATCTCCCTGGACCCCACCAGCTGTTGGCAGCTGGCCATCAGGTAGCCCTGAGTGGGGGTTCCAGGTGAGCACAGTCTTGGGGCGCTCCAGAGGACCCAGCTGCCAGGTTCACGTATCTAATCTACCCAACACGGGAAAAGGATGTGAGTGCTTTAAAGTTCGGCTAATCCAGGCAAGGGGTCATGCCCAAAGTCAAGGGGCTCGATGGACCCTGAGCCAGGCACAGGGACACTACAGGATCCTCTCTCGGGAGGCCCCGGAGTGCAGAGAGACAAGGCAGCAGGGTGCAGGGACCGGAGGCTGGGGTGGTGCTGGCTGCACACCAGGCTGAGGCCACCCAGCGCCCGAGCTGTGCGCTCACCATGTCGAGGTGGGGAGTCCGCCTTGTGTGTCCCACCACCATTAAAGAACACGTCCTGAAAGCAGAGCTGAACTCGAGGCATTGGCCCCGCAGCAGGGCAGCTGAAGCGTCTGCAGTGGACAGTGGCGGCTGGAACCAAGCAAGGTCCCAGGCCGCTGTTGGGAAGGGCGCTTCGCCAGGCAGATGAGGGCGAAGGGCTTGTTAAGCTGGGCTAAAGCCAAAGACAGAGCAGGGCTCTGAGTGGACCACCTCAACACCAGCGTCGAGCTTTAAGCCGGAGCTGCAGCTACGGCCTGTGTGCGTTTTTAAACAAAAGTCACTCTGGATGATTCCAAATGTCCCCCAACAAAGGTGGCCCAGGAAGGAGAGGCTGGGCTGAGGGAGCTGCAGGTGCACCTGGCTGGCTGCCCAAACATCCTCGTCCCCCCTGGACCCCACCAGCTGCTGGCTCCAGGGTAGGTGAGCTCAGGCCCATGGATGGACCCCACGATGCTGGACTCCCAGAGGAGCCAGGGCTGTCCACAGAGGGAATGA